AAGGTTCTGCATTCAGTTTTAGTTCACAGTCTGGATTCAGGTAATGATCCACTAAGCAGGAATATGTAAGTTAAAATCCTTACCATCAGCTTACTATGGCTTAAATGAGGAAATATTCTCCTACAGCCTCTTGCAGCCTTTCTACATAATGTATCTAGAGAGTGGGGCAATGAGATCTATCTCCTTCAGTTGGTAAGATGTACTGGCCCCATTGCAGCACCTGACAGAGCTTCTGTAGACTGTGGTGGTGATGGTCAACTTTTATTTCCATGGATCTCTAGAAGAAATGTAGTTTAAGTATATTGAGACCACTTGGACTTAACAATCTTCATCTTCCTGCCAACCATATAAAGCCTACCTGTCGAGTAGGCAAGGGTTATAACATGAGATTGTCTTGGGATATTCACAGAAAAGAGGTCTAAGAGATTCTAATTTGGTAAAATCCAAAGATGTATGTATTAAGAGAACTGGATAAAATAATATCTTCATTTTTTTCTTCCTTTGCTGAGCCCATTAGGCTTATTTCTGAAAACTGTCTAGCTGAGTTTGTTGCTTTGGGTTTTAGTTATGCATTAACCTAACTTATCACATAATTTCAAACAAATGCAGAACAGTTCTATTCCAAGTACTATCACTCCTTAAGATACCAATTTTTAGAAATTATCTAGGCACTCTTCAGTTAACTAGATTGATTTTAGTGGCTGCCTTTGAAATGCATCTCATTTTTCTGCAGTTCAGCCTAACAATAAAACGACAGACTTTAAGCTTGTCTTGCAAAGATTAGAGAGCCCTGTGCACCAAGGAAACTATCACCTGTAATTTTCTTCAGGACTGACAAGCAGTGACTCACTGATAGGTATAAAATTGCAGTCCAGATACCGCTTTTGAAAACAGGCATAAGAGAGAGAAGCAGAAGTCCTTCACTATAAAACATCTTGAGACAATTTAGGAAAACCCTATCTGGGCTCATATTCTACAATAATTAGAGACACCATATTGCATTCATCACCACACTGCTAGACACCAAATGTCATGAACTTTCATTATTCCCTGATTAAAAAAAAAAAAAAAAGCTTTTTAGTTATTATAGTTGGAAGAGATTTAGCAAGCAGGAAAGAGGTGTGAACCCAGACTGTCGAAAGGGTGTTGAAACCCAGTTACATTTTACCTGCTGTTGTTTGACAGCCTGTTTTTCTCATGTCAGGAGAAGGGTGTGGGCAGTCCAGTTCACTCATTGTTTCAGGCTATTGAACCTGTAACACAGAAAATTCAACCAGAGCAGCAGCTCCTAGAGCTGCAGGCAGTCAGCTCTATGATTCTGGTTTTGGAATACACAGTCTAATAGGCGATTCAAGTTATTAGCTGTCTTTTATTAACAAGGATATTCTGTATCAAATACCTAGACCTTTTTACAGATTCTGCTCCTCGTTTGATTGTCATGATGCCTTTTATTTTAAAGGAAAACATGAGGAGATTTGCCACGTAGTTAGTGAGGCATCACCTCTTGCATGAATTACTTCAGGAGCCTGTTTCTCAAGAACACACATTCCCAAACAAGGCAAGGGAAGGGACTTACGTCACTGAGAAAAGGAGATGTCTGAAAAAGCAATTTCTTCATAGCAAGTAGACTTGTTTCAGATTCTTCCTGAAATAAAAGGTTTTGGGCTTTTTAGCACAGGTAGGGCAAACTTGCCTACATGATCACCAATACAGGCTGGAGAATGGACAAACTCTTACATACAGCCATGGCACACAGGAGAACCAACAAATATTTTGGTGAATTCTCTAAACAACTGAGTGAACTGTCTTATGATTAATATTTTATCATTCTGATAAAGACATAATAAGAGATTGTGCCCCAGATACTTTTGAATAAGACAGTATACTAGTATGCATTGCTTTCATTTTGCAGAGCTATAATAAATTCATAGTTTTAAAGAAATTGTAATCGCAAAAGATAATTTTTTTACTAGTAATTCCTTCAGAAATACAATTTACGAGCAAACTTATCCGTACAGAAAAAGTACCTTTCTTTAAAGAAATCACTATTGAGTATGTCCAAAAATATAGTATTCCCACCACTGGGCGAAAAAATGCAACCATTTTAACTTTGGACCAGTCTTTAAGTGTTGCCTTCAATTAATAGGTTGTATAAAATGTCTAAATACTAAATGCTTCTACAAGGGGAAAACGATACTTTAGAATACTTTGCCATGCAGTGTGTGATACCCAAATTACAAAGCAATGGACATGTAAATGCAAAACTCACTGTAAACAATAGGAAAATTGTTTAATTTACCATCCTAATGGGGACAAAATGCCATCAAACACATGTTGTAAACAGCAACACCACAACTGAATTTTTCACTGCCATCGTTTAAAACACTATTTTAAGGTGCTGTCATTGTTCATCCAGGAGATAATCCAGGCATTATAAGTATTTAGTATCACTAAAATGTCAAACAGTTGTTTACATTCCTGTTTTTAAAACTGTGGAGGCATTTCTGCCTGAAAATTCTATTTATATTCCAATCTTGAACATTTCTTCTAGGATATAACTTGACTGGCAAGTTGAGCTGAGAAACAATTGCGTTATCAATCATATGTGGAAAAAACAATTTAAAAAATCCATTTCATGGTGTTATATCCCATTCTGTACTGATGAAGAATTAAATTATTTCAGGTGTATTTTTCACTTTTATTACCTTAACGTATATGCAAAATGTATTTCATTATTCTTTCTCCTCATAACATAATTATCTTTTACAAATTAAATTGTATGGTACAAATTATCATCTAGTTGTTTTCACACATTCATGCACCTTCATCCCATTCACTTTCAAGTAAATGACAGTGTTTCCTTCAACATGATTTTTTTTTTTTTTAAGGAATGTCCTCATGTTAAGCCTAGAGCTTGCTCAGTATTTTTGAGGCATGTTGAATGCTCTCAGCTCCCCCTGGCCATAAGAAAAATTACATTCTTCAACCCTTTGTCAGGCAGAAATGACAAATTACTCAGATTTATCAATTATACATTGTCATGTCTTTCAATATTAAAATTAAGAAACAAATTTCCTATCTTCAAAAGGTCAAAGTCCCAAATAATAGTTTTTTAGACTTTTATTAAAGTTCCAGTTCTGAACACTTATCTGCATCTCACAAACTTTAATTCTGTAACTATACCCACTGATCTTTAGGACTTAACTGTCCTAAATCACTTCTTTGGAGATAAGAAGAACTTTTCGAGGCTTGTCCATTTTGCATTCTTTCAAATTTTCCTGCAAAATAAATTTTCCTTCCCATGAAGGTCCCTCAGAGTTTGCACAAACAAATCATGGATTTTCAAATCTGTGTGTGGATTTGTATCTGAAAGAACATGTGTATGTATACTGTATATATATGTATACACATTATGCAAAAAATTTCTAAGAGGCATCCAATGTTTTAGTGACATTTTAGAATACAGATTTTGTATTTTCTTTTTCTTCTTTTTTCTTTCCACTCTGTTAAAAGTTCTTTCCGTGATGGTTGTCTTCAATAGAGGTGTAAAACTTTTTTTCCTAATCCTTTCTCACACAAGGGCAGTCTAATTTCAGAGATGATAAAGGAACTCCTTTATCAGAACAAAAATCAGTGGCTCATTATCTCTTCTTCAAGTTGATATTCACAGCTTGGGGGTGGTACATTTTTGACAAAGAGTTCAGTTCTGGTTATTCTATTACTTGTTATGGAATAGAAAGGATCTGCTCTGTTATCACTGTTTGCTCATAAGTGCTTGCCTTCCACTTGACCTTCAAGGTTGATTCACTGACTCAAAAGGCATTTCCTGAAAGTTAGTGTTAATGTGCGTCCAAAACTGGGTTTCACTGCACTGGCGAGATTATTCCACAGAACAGTTGCGACGTAATTTGTTTTCTATGTAATGTACGAAAGAAAAGCCTTGAGATGGAGGAAGTTATTTACATGCCAGCTTGTGGGGAAGTGGTTATGATCAAGTAAGAATGAATGTGAGACAGGTGGAGTTTGCACTGTGTCCTGTTTTAATTAGTACTTGATGACTGGAGTTTCATATTTTGTGTGTTGTGTTGTTAATTTTCCTCCCTCAGGATAAGCAGAAAGACTAGAAAAATGACAACTTTATCACACAACTTTCAACATGTCGTGGAAACATATTCCATGACAAAAGTTCTGGGTTCCCTTTTAACACAAGTGTGAATTCTATTAAAGAAACAGGCAAAACTTGGGACCACAAATCAGATACAAAATTTTGCATTTGCTTGCTTTCAGTGCAAATTCTGTTCTCCCTCAGAAGTGTCTCCCGATGATGTGTTCTGCTGCTGTTGTCCTAGGGGTAGGACACAGGAATCACAAATTATCTCCAAGATACATCACTTACTTTAAAGCATTAATTACCTTTAAAATCCATCCAGAGTCTCATTTTCCTTCACGGCAGAGCAGTAAGTGCCATGTTGCCTGCCCTAAACCGGAGCTACCAGTTTGGGCTAAATGGCCACTTGCAGGGAGTGGTTAAAATGAAACACCTTTTTTTTCATTTCCTTGGCTAGTCCCTTCCTGCAAAATACCAAGGTAGTGTTAGTCCTTTTTAGGCTTTTCATTGAACAGTTGGTCAATCCTGAGTTTCTTACCAATTTTAGCTTTTCAGTCCTCGCTCTGTCAAACTGGTTGACATACGGGGAGTTTGCCTCCCTGCGTCATTTGTATCAAGTGAACATCATGATCTGCAGCGCAGCTGCTGTGTGCCAGGCCCTGAAATGACAACAGTTCCCGTCCAAGAAACTGACAGGAATAAAAGACTCATGCAACATTGCAGTGTGAATTTACTCTGATTTACTTGATGACTAGAATGCTTTAATTCAAATGGTTCAAAAGCTTATCACAACAGCATTCATAGGATCAGACATCTGTGGTGTTTTACTGCCTTTCCATTCTATGCATGCTCCATCTGACACTTCTTTTTGTTCTTCTTCCCATTCATGCAGTCACCTAATTGTGGCAACAAGGATGACCAAACACTGACGGTAGGCAGCGATTAGAATGTGTCTGAGCATTTATTTCTCAGGAGGGTGATGAGACAAGCCTTACTTTGGTTTGGCATACATCAGCATTTTTCTAAATTACTGGGATTTCTTTCCCCCTCCTATGCGGCTATAGAATTTAAATTATTTATTTCCAAAGATAAAGCAGTGAATTAATTTTCTTGTTCAGTTTCTATCATTTTTCATTTAGTATTTGTATGACACCAAAGATTAATCCATGTACCATGTATTATTGTGGAATACTATTTTCTTCGGAGTATTTTTTTTCCTGTAATTGAGTTTCAGCATCTTATTAGTCAGCAGTCCGCTGGCTCTGATTATCTTTTTTATTGAAACAAGCAGACAGCCATCCACAAAGCAGTCTTACTCTATGGGTTATATTAAATGCATCAATTATTTTACTAGACAATGGCATGGGAAAAGAACTTCAAAATATGTTTAAAAGTTCTTTAAAAGCATGTAAAAGATGCTTGCATATTAGCTGCATTGCTGCAGGTGTCTGCACTGCCTTATCCCACTCACAATCTGTTTTTGCAATCAGTACTTAATAGATTGAACCAAAGCAAGGAGTATGTTTCACTCTGACTGAGCTTTAGGGTTTTGCCATTAAGAAAGGGTACTTTCAACCCTTTTTCATCATAATTTTGATAATATGCATATTTGCAATGTACCAAGGCAAAAAAAGATTAGAATTTACTTCAGGGATTTAACCACAAGGTTCTAGAAAGAAACAAATTATGAATTCTTCCTGGTGCAAGTATTAGGTTTTTATTTTCTTAACATTTTAGAGTTGTCACAGAGAAGGATTCTTTTTTCCCTACTATTTTCCTGAGCCCTGGGAGACTACTGATTAATCTGATGATCCATCCCCTCCAGAGAAATTGTCTATAAGTATGGCAATGTTTAATACAGTGTTTACTTTAATATAATCTGCTATAGGTGATAGCTGAAAATGTTTCGCTGTGTAGTGAGATGTGAGATTAATTTATAGTGTTTCAGACCTGTTTCCACACAAACAACAAAAAACCCTAATTTCTTTCCCTTATTTTTCCACCTAGACCAAGCCACGGCTCCAGCGGGGAGGAAGCTCTGCTTCTCTCCACAACAGTCTAATGAGGAACAGCATCTTCCAGCTCATGATTCACACACTTGACCCACTTGCTGAAGGTATTCCTTTTTTTGTTTGTTTGTTTTCTGTTGCAAAGGCAAACAAATACTTTCTTTTTCCCTTCTCTCTGTGAAACTATTTTTTACATTTCTATTGCTTTCACCAGTCTTTTCTAAACGTGTTTGAATTTTCTGAGAGAGTTTTGCACTCTTATGATGTGGTATGCATACTCCTACCAAGACTTGCGACTTGGAATACGTTTGTTGCAGTGCTAACCAAAACTGATCACTTGGTTGATGCACATCACAACTACTGTTTTGCTTCGCCTCTGGCTTCAGCAGCAATTTAAAAGTTATGAAAACTCATCCTCTTGTACTTTTGTAGAGTTTTTTTTGTTTTCTTTCCTGTTTTGATTTTAGTACATCAGGAAGAAAAAAGCCAAAATGGTGGGTAATTTGTCATAAGAAATATAGAAAAGAATGAGACTCTGCTGATTTGCCTTCCGGTGGTTTAACACTGACATTAGAAAACATACAACAAACATCCCTCTGTGTTACATGCATGTTAACAGTTTGCTCGCTTTATCCAAGTGTGGTGTTTTGGTTTTTTTCTTTGAGAAGTTAGTAGGAAGACCATGATTGCTTTGGTCTGAGAAGCTGGCAGGAAAACAACAATTGCTTTGCAAATGTGGGGTGATTTGAATCTCAGCTTATGGTAGACTTGCAAAAAAATTCAAGCCCAGGTGTTTCTTTGGTGAATGTGTGTCTGTAGGACTTTTCTTGCTGTAGTAATAAATGTCTTGAGCAATAGCACTTGTGAAGGAATTGTGAGGGACTAAAGAGACCTAAAATATCACTGACAGTGAGACCTTGCAAACTTCAGTGATCAAACAGTATATGTAGTACTTCCTTCCGTTTTAGTTCCTTTATGTTTCTCACTGCAACGTTGTGTAGAGCTTTTTTAATTGCTCTGTATCACTTGGACGAGGCAAATCTACTTTTCTATTTCCCTCTTCAAAAGCTGAAGCTGACACTGATTTTGTCAACACAAGGGCAATTTTAGCCCTTGCAATCTCCACACCATTATTTCTACTCTGATCATGATTCACATCGCTTCTCTCTTTGGTTAATGCTGCACTATATTCTGCCAAAGTCTGTTGGCTGTTAGATTGGAGTCATCAACAGACTGTGCCCAATCTATTCCTATTCAATTTCAAAAAATGACAGAAGAAATTTATTGCAATTACATGTTTGGTTTCCTTTATTTTCATCACTACAGCAGGTGAACAAGCTTTCTAATTGCTGCACCCAGTAAGTCTCATCTTTGCCCGCCTAGTAGCCAAGCTTTTAGTTCTCCTGGAAGAAGACAAGACTTCCAATCTTAATTTTTAACTTTTTAATGAAAAATTGTAATTTTTCATTACAATCCTCCACACTCCTCTTTTCCTTTAAAGCAAAGCTCCTGGGCTGAGGATGCATCTGTGGTGTCTCAAATAGTGCTAACACAAACAAAAAGAACAATCATCTGAAGCAGTAAATAGACTTCATCAAATATATTTTAAAAGTAGGAGAGAACAGAAGGAGGTTAGAAATCAGTCATTAGTAGGGACAGAACCTTTATGACAGATTGAAGACCACAGGAAAGCTAAAAATGTTGACTAGAGTTCAATTTGGACTTAATGGAGATTCAGAAATAAGATCAGCTCTCAAGTATTTTTCCATTGATCAAGTTTATTTCACTTGTTTCCCAGATACAGCTTTTTCAGCATTCAGACCTTTTCTCACTACTTTTCCCCTGTTGCAAGCCTGCACCATGTAGTGTGATCCAGAGGCTTCCCTCTTCATGATAGCACAGCAAAAAAGTGTTTGGAAATCTAAATCCATCTTGGGAGACACAGAAGCCAAACATTTTAGAAAATTAGGTATTATAATTAAGTTTATCAGGTAACTCAATGCTGTTCTTCATTCTATCAGTAAAATACTTGAGATCAATGTAGACTGATAGAGATGGTTGCAATGGATAAATCTTATTTGGATTACTCCAGTAAAATTTTCATCAGGGTTTCTTTGCTCATAATACTTTACTGTTTGGTTGGGTTTTTCCTGTCCAAATTCTTATATTTGTCCTGGAATTAATATTATTTTAAAAATGGCATATAAAGGCCTTGTGGCCTTTAAATAAGTGCAAGGTAGTAATCACCTGTACTTTTCATTAAAACTGACACACTGAGTTAAAAGTTACAAAGGGAAAAAGAATCTACCTACATTTGCGGTAAATATTGTATTTTAATGCACAATTTTCATGAAGAAATGGCCAAGGTGACACTGGAAAATAGCCTATATATGTGGAGACATCTAAGTTGGTGTTAATGCCAAAGGAGTTAGTATTTCAAATTTTCAGTGACTTCACAAAATTCAACTTTTGATTACTGAGAGCACGAAACAGCCAATATAGGAATGCAATTCAATAAATATTTTTGCATGTGGAACCCTGGTTTTATTTTTTCACAAATATGTCCAGATGTGTAGGAGAAATGTGGGAAAAATCTACCCACTTTTCTGTCACACATTACGGTCATTAACCTTTTCTGAAACACCACCTCATTTGTAGGCAGACTTGGCTTTCAAGATCTTTTGCACTGCAGGCAGTTTGGAAGGCAGACACAGGGAGTATTGGATGTTCCACTGAACACTCATATTGTTTCCTGAGATTTGAGTTTTTAAGTATTCATATTAATTATTCTGTATTCAGATAATTCTGCAAACTTCTGTAAAACAAAAGGTATTTTAGTTTGATGTAAATACTGTGGTTGGCCACGGTAGGTAATACTAGTTAACAAATTTGGATGGCATTGTACTTGAATCTTACATTCAGTTCAAAAATATGTGTGATAATGGATATAGGTAGCTGCTGTATACAATATTGATTATCTATTTGGCTCCTTATGAATTTTATCTACCAAACTTTCACCATGTTCTTGTGTTTTTATCTTCCTGTATATAATGAACACCGAACAATCAACTGGTACGTTATGTTAAACAGACCTTTACCATGCTAGCTAAGTAATTTTTTAAGCTAATAACATTTCATTGTTAAGAGTTAAAAGAAGGGATAGTATTTATCAGAAGTATCTGAGAAGTGCTTTGATCTATAAACCCAGGGCGGGGGGGGGGGGGTGTGTGCAGAAAGGTAAATGATTACCTGCTGCCTTCTCTGGCCCACATGGCTTTCTCCACTTCACATGCCCTTTCCTACTACTACAAAAAAACAGACACAATGAAGAAATAAATGAGTGATTCATGTTAGTTTTGAGTTTTGTGTAAGCAAACAAAATTAGCTCTGTTGCACTCATGTAATGAGAGGCAATGGACCTGGTGCACAACCTGTGAGGTCAAAGGATTTCTTCCAAATCATTTAATGCAAGTATGGATCATTCTCAAAGGAATAGCAGAAAGAGGTTCTGAGCATTTTTCTGTCCCATTTTAGTCAGCTTACATCCCCTCAGTATTTCTGCCAGATGATGACTTAGATCAATAGGTCAGAAACATTGCATCATTAGCCATATTTGTTGGATTTGCAGCAAAAGAACACATTGCAAAGTGCCATTCTCAAAGGAAAAAAGTGTGAAAGGTGTATATCAAAGCTGACACATAAACAGGTACTCTGGCACCCCCTGAATTTGGTCATATTCCTTCTGTCCTCCTTCCCCTCTCATTTCCTCTTTCCCCATTTTGCTACTGTTTGCTTCCTTTGCCTTTCCTCATGCTGCATCTCAATTGTCTGCACCCACCTTCTTTCAACCTGTTCCAGTAAGACAGCTTCCTCAGTGCTTGCTCTCCTTCTGGACCACTGGATCTATCAGTCAAAGCACTTCCCAAGCAGACACCAGCAGCCCTGCAGCTGGCACAGCCCACTGAACTGGGTTTCCAATCTCTAGAAAAGCACTTGTAAAGTCTGGGAGGTCTGTGCTTGACCCTTCACAGCTTCCAGATCAAATGATGCTGTTAGAAGTGATATTTCTAGTTGTTGCATACTGCTGCTGTAAGATCCAGCATTTCTTTCTCTTTATGTCAATAATAAAGTTCACTGTTACATTCTCTTGAATAATTACAAGGAAAATGGGGGCATGAAAAGGCACACTGCTGTGTCATTTGAACTTGTGTGGACTTTGCAAAGCTGACAGAAATGAACTCTCATCTAAGTCCTCTTGATAACGTAAGCAGTATAGAATGGATAAACAGGCTGTGTGACTATTAAAGGTCAACCTGACCTACGCAGTGTTATTGTTACATTAACATGCAATGTATTTATAGAAAACGAGCTCATCGTATTTACTCCTGAATAATTCATTTGTGAAGTCAGAACCAATTTCTACTTTAATTGAGAGCCTCTCAAAAAAGCAATTGATTGTAAGTAGGAAAATATAAAATGGGAGAGAGATGACCTTAAGAAGTTTTTACTTTCCACAAAATGTAGGTAAACAGAGCGATCCTGATATACGATTACGCACTTGTGAATCTGTCCTTCCTTTTCCCTTTCCACACAAACATAGTTTTACCATGACTTGTGCCTGTCTTGTGAAAGCCAGTTTGTAAACTCTCTGGAATCAATGGGCTTGCAAAGTATTCAGCCCGCCTCTGATAGACAAGTAACACCTGAGATCACTGGGAGCTGCTGGACGTTTGGCACTTTGCATTCAGGCAGGTGTGCGGCCATGCTGTGGATTTGGCAGTCTAAGACAAGGAAGGCTTCTCTTCAAAATCTTGGTCTCAGCATAAAGCTTCTAAGAATATAGGAGCTGAACCACTCTTAAGAGGTGAATGTGTAGGATATTTGTTAATGATACATGAACTTTACATTACAGTTGAAACCTCATCATTCATTAAAAATATAAATATCTGTATGACATTAGTTTTTTGTTTGCTTTTATCTTATTACAGAAATAATGACCTTGGTACAGATCATTTCCTGAGGATTAAGATTAATGACTGTCTGTGCATCAGGCTATCATCAACTCCCAGCCAGTCATTAATCCCCAGGAAATCCTGTGCCATATTTG